TTAACAACTATTCTGTCAATTAAGTATAACTGAAGACTTAGTTGTCGATTATTATATTAGCATAACCAACAACTAATGTTATACAGATAAAGTACCATTTTGGTCTCTCAACTTTTTACTTTGGCATCAAAATTGTCTCTCAACTTTAAAAAGTATCAAATTTATCCTTAAACTTTCATTTTCGATACCAAAACGATCTTTCCGTTAGTTAAATGACAGGTGACACGTTAACTTGCCAACAAATCAATTCTATTTTTTGCTTAACTAATGACATGGAAAAAAAAAAAGTATAGTTGGCCATCTTTTTTATGAGTTGGCATTTTCATTTAATTTAAAAATAATAATTTCTTTTTTTTTTTTCACCCACGTCAGATTTCTTCTTCCTCTTTCATTTTCTCTCTCCTTTACCTTTCCTTTTTGCTTAACCTCTACAAACTTGGTCCTAGATTTTCTCTCAAACTTCATCCTCTTCTCATTCTTCTTCTTATTCTCTCTCTTTCTTCTCCTTCTTCTTCCTTTCTCAAACCCAGATCTGGGTTTCATCACATAAATTAACAATCTGATAAAATTGATGATAATAATAAAAAAAAAAACAATACAAATCATTCTATTATATTAAATATAAGCAACAAAACCATCCAAACTCATCTATGGTAAAGTAATGCACCAAAACTCAAAAGCAAAATTCCAAGGTTTTACTTTCCCCCATATTCAAAATCAATGAATAGTAGTCTCGATTCCAAACACTAAAAAGCAATCACGAGAAACAAATAAAATATCTTCATAACTTCAATAATTATCTCACATCTCCAAATCCAAATAAAAAACCAGAAACAAAACACTGTACTCGATCTACCAAACCCAATAAACTCACCACAATATCTCCAATAAACAGGCTCTAACTCAATTAAAATTCGTTCAAAGAGATCCAAAAGTCAATCGAAAACACCATACCTTATTCTCTGCTAGTTATCAGGCTCGAACACTGAAGTCAGGAGAGATGGAGAGAGTAAGCAACATGAATCGAAGAAGTCGTCTGGAAGGTCAAAGATTGAAAGGTATCGTCTCTCCTAAGAGGAGGCAATTGCGGAGGTGGTGCTGACGGGGGCACCTCGGTCTCCATTTTTGATGACTTTCACTGTCAGTTGGATTTGATGACACAAGTCACAGCTGTGGACCTATCATCTTCTCGGGCCAATTTGGGTTTGAGAGAAGAAGAAGAAGGCCGACTGTAGTAGTAGCATCGTCCACTCTAGTGCGTAGGTGCTGTGCTCACTGTCGTTGACGGCGACGATCATCACATACTTCTCGACAGTTTGAGAAAAACCCAGATCCGGTTTGAGAGAAGAAGAAGAAGGCCGACAGCAGTAGTAGTATCGTCCACTCCAGCGCGTAGGCGCTATGCTCGCTATTATCGACGACAATGATCATCACATGCTCGGTTGTTTGAGGAAAACCAGAGCTAGGGTTTACATAGGTAAGAGAAAACGAAAGGTAAAGGGGAGAGAAAATGAAAGAGGAAGAAGAAATTTGACGTAGGTGAAAAAAAAATTTATTATTTTTAAATTAAATGAAAATGCCAACTCATAAAAAAAATGGCCAACTATACTTTTTTTTTCCATGTCATGAGTTAAGCTAAAAAAGAATTGATTTGTTGGCAAGTTAACATGGCACCTGTCATTTAATTAACAGAAAGACCGTTTTGGTACCAAGAATGAAAGTTTAAGGATAAATTTGATACTTTTTAAAGTTGAGGGACAATTTTGGTGCCAAAGTGGAAAGTTGAGGGACCAAAATGGTACTTTAACTAATGTTATACTAAGGTTTAGGGTTTTAGGGTTTTAAATTTATAAAATTAAAATTTTCGCTTCCAAGATGTAAGAATTTATGTTTAGGGGTTGTTAAGTGTTATAGATGTTAGAATTGATTTAATATGTGTGTTTTTGGTTTAAGATTTAAAGATTTAGAGAATGAAAATTTAGAATTGGTTTAATAAGTGTGTTTAGTATATGTAGATGGAAGCTTAGTGAGTTAGTGTTTTGAGATTTGGGTTTAGAATTTAAGGAATTAATGCTTTAAGAGTTTTTTTTTTTTTTTTTTTCAATGGAAGTTGGTTTGACTTTTCATTTCCATAGGCAAGGCTAGTGAGGAAGGCGGTACCAAAGAAGGATCATTTGACATAGGCAGCGAGCCCCTACTAGGACTAGTGGTTGTGGCTCGACTAGATGGAATGGGTAGACAGACTTTCCTTCAATCGCTCATAAAGATCAGCTTGGAGGCCAGTGGTTGTAAATCACCCCCTTGGAGGTTTAGCCAGACGAAAAAGGAGGGGTTTCCCAAGGAAAGAGACGGCTTCAATCGCTCGTAAAGATCAGATTTCCATAATTAGTCTAGTAAGTTGATTCCTTAATTGAAAAGGCTAAATTTAATAAATAGTCCAATAACTGCTGAGTCAACATCCTTTGAGTCTCTATACTCTTTTTTCTCCCAAAAAGGTCTTGACAATACAATTTCTGTACCATAGTACTCTCTTCTGTCCAAATGCTCTTACTTTTCTTGACGGATGCCATATCATCATATACCATGTGGCACTAGTGACATTATGTGGCAGAAAATTAAAGAGATTTTTTTTTTTAGATTGTATAATAAGAAACAACCATTTTCATTCTTTAATTTACTATACTTGTATGTTATACATGTAATTTGAATTCAAAATTTCTTAATGTATTACCCCCAATCCCATATTTGAAAAAGAATACAATTGTAAGTGGTATATAAATGTGGAGGCAAACTACAATCAACAATTTGAGGTTGCGCTTTTGAAAGTTTATCAATCTTCACTTAAAGAGTAACAGCAATCGCTGTAGGGACTATAACGAAGCTATTAAGTAAGGAGATGTTTGTTTTAACTTTTTGTGAATAACTATTAGTTGTTACCTCTAATCAAATATGAGATATTGTGAATTATTATATTATCAACTATCAAATATCAATTATTAACTATTAACTAATTATATCTAAATAATTAATCCAAACAACCTCTTGAAAAGAAAGTCCTATGAGCATCTTGAGCCACTATAATGCCAGCTTCTTAATGAAAACAGGTACTTAGCTAACAACAGTCCCCACCACTGATGGCCCAACTAGATTCATGGAATTATTATCCTGGCAGGGAACGAGTGCCCCATCCTTCCAAGACAACCATACTTCGTCAAGCAAGGCTAGGAATAAACCTAGTCTCCTACACTATTGGAACAAACCCCTTCACCTTCGTTTCCTGCGATCCAGCGCCAATCTTTGGCCTTGCTATCATCTCAATCTCAATAGTTCTATAAATTACCAATTAACAACTATAATTATCAACTACCCCTGACAATTATATTGAACACACTTATAACATTTTTGTCTGAGCTTAACAAATAAGCATGTTACCATAAACACCCTCGCCAAACATACCAATGTTTCTTTAAAAAATGATACAGGTTAGTGGACCTTCCCATTCATCAAACAACCATAGAATGCCACGACTGCCTCAAGATTCCAAAGCAAAAAAACCTACCAGTCAAAAGCTGCATCATTACAAGCACTCCTTCAAACCCACCATTCCTTTATATATGGGTTTCCTTTTTGCTATTGAAATTTTTTGCTCTGAATTTTCTTTCCATAACTTCTTCTATTACCATCACTTTTTCTCTGGAGATTCTTATCTTGAAGCTTCTGGACATTGATCTGGTACAATGGCTAGGCCTGGTAATAAGATCATACAAGCCAAGCTGGTGGGTATGTCTTATCCTCCTCCTTTTTTCTTTTTTTCCCTTTTTTTCTGTTATACATTTTTTTTGTCTACTTCTCTTACGCTGGTCTAATGTGTCTGAAATAAAGTTTGTGACTTTGTAGTTCTGAGAATCTGTTGCATTTTATGGTCAAAACTCTGATAATAATTTATGTGCAGAAAAGAATGGGTTTGAGCTGAGAGGCATGAGATGGATAGTTTCTTGAAATTCTAGGCTATACTAAGAAACTTGCATTTTGAAATATTGCCCTCTTGAAATGCTATATGAGGAGCTTGTAATTTGGTGCCACACAAAATGTGTCAAATTGGGTTTGGTCTGCCACAACCCTGCAAGTTCTAGGACTGATTTCCACTTTTTGCCTACATCTAACAGCTTAAAGTTATATAAGCAACATTCCAAGATAATTGTTTCATTCAAATCAACCCACGTGGAGCATGAGACCATGAAGATGTCCTAATTGCAAAACAATTATCTTACAGTGATAACTTATTGTTATGATGGGTTTAGAGTCAAAACAACCTTAATGATTGAGTTTGCAATTTTTTTTGTTAGTCCTGTGTCCATCATTAGTGATTTATGGACAGAAGATGCATTTGCCAGCTCTGGTTCAATGCAATTCTCTTGTGTATAGATTTCTGTGCAGCAAGAAACTGTTCGCAATGAGTAAATTTTTTAACAATTTTTTTCTGCAAATTTTGAGAAATAAAATCTTTGGGAGGGAATAACCTTGATACATTTTCTCTGAAGGTACTCCTAGGAGATATGGGAACTGGGAAAACCAGTTTGGCACTGAGGTTTGTCAAAGGCCAGTTTTATGAAAACCAGGTTTTGTATTATCTCATATTTTCTCTTCTTATTTATTCTCTATATGTTATAATTAAGAACCTTCAAATTTGCTACATGCAGGAACCAACTATTGGAGCAGCATTTTTTACTCAGGTATTGTCCTTAACTGAAGCCACTGTAAAGTTTGATATATGGGATACAGCAGGTCAAGAAAGATACCATAGCTTGGCTCCTATGTATTATCGTGGTGCAGCAGCTGCTGTTGTTGTCTATGATATTTCAAACAAGGTAACTATTCATTGATATTAGAAAAAATTATTTACAAGCATGCAAGTATTTAGTTATATTAATGTTATTGGGGATACTGCTGGAAAAAAAATTGACTTCCAAGTCAATTTTGTCATCAAAAGTATTTCCTTGCATTTTTGTGGAATTTCAGTATCAATCGTTAACACAGGTTTAAGAGGCTGTTCTAAATTTTTGCACTCTGTTTCTTCTTTGGTTCTGAGAAAAATTGCCAGAAAAATAATAAAGTATCAACCATGTTAACCAGTAGTCTTAGAAGATGTACTTTGCTTTCCTGTATGGTAATATTCAAAAGGATTGAATAATATCTAAACTAGAAATAATGGACAATAATCAAGCCAACCTTGTTCCACCCAACACCTGTTTGGTTTCTCCATATCTCTTGAGCTGTGAATTTATATATTTCCTTTTAAGATGCACTGGTATCATTCTATTTCTCTCTCCCTGAATAAACTTATTGCTGTAGCTATACCTGCAAGATGTGTAGATCGTAGGAAACAGGTATGGATTGTGTTGGTCATAAATAAATAATAGGTAAGTGATTGAGTTTATCATCATTTTGCAAAGCATGATTGCAAAGTTCATTCTTTACTTGCATTTGGTATACAACTGATGCTTGCCGCCTCCATTATGCTTCTTTTTCTGGATCTTCCAGGAAATGTCCTTAGGCATGTCTAGAATACTTCTAATTTCTTTACTTACAATGCTATAGCTATATTACATTTTCCATGTTGCTTTCTTTTCTAAACTGATTCCACCTTCTTCCATATGCTCCTTAAAGCATTAACATGTACAAAAAAAAACTTTATGCACCTGTCCATTTTGCTTCAGGATACATTTGCACGAGCCAAAAAATGGGTTCAAGAACTGCAAAGACAAGGTGAGTACCTTCAATATAAAAAAACAGTTTTGTTATTCATTCTTTTCACCTTCTCACTTGTGTATGTGATATTTTAACATATGAATCAGAACATAGTCTGAATTCCACTCCTTGTAACTAAGTTCCATTATAAACTAAACATCTGAACTTCTTGAAGCTGCTTTTGATTTAAATGACTGTTTAGCTATGAATCTGCAACTGATTTTATGAGAAATGAACATAATATCTCTAGGAAGTCCAACTATAGTCACTTCTCTGGTAGCAAACAAGTGTGATTTGGACTCGAAGAGAGAGGTGGAGAATGAGGTATTTGCTAAGTTAAACATTTCTTTTTGTTTTCTTTTTTAAGTAGTAGTAAATGTACATGTATGTAATATGATAGAACATTTAATCCAACCATTATTTTTTCAAAATATTAACTATACTAGAAATTATCAGTGAGTGTAGTTCCTGATTCCTACACGTGTAAGTGATCTCGAATCATTTAATATTCAATAATTAAGCAAAACAAGTATTTTTTCCAAAAGCTATGTGTTACTCAGGAAACTAGCAAATGTCCATTCCAGGCTTGGGACGCTGCCCTACCTTTTTGTTCTAGGTCAAACCTGAATTTGAATTTCAGTGCCTCATGAACAAAATCTCTTATCTGTTTTATGCTAATTGCTATGTTTATGAAAGTTAGAATTGGAGCCAGATTAAATTTCTTTACTAAATATAAGCACCATTGATCTGATGTAATCTGTATTCTGAAGTTGCCAAGTAAAAATCCATGTTCCACCTTTTCTCTATCTTATTTTCTTCTCTACACAGGAAGGAGAACAATTTGCTCAAGAAAATGGAATGTTTTTCATTGAAACATCAGCAAAGATTGCACAGAATGTCAACGAGCTTTTCTATGAAATAGGTAATCTATTTGACCATGTTTATCTTGGTCATTAGCAACAGTGATCTCGTTCAGTCCATGCTTCTGAATAGCTTAATCTTGAATCTGACATGGGAAGTAGATCAAAATACATTGGCGTATAATGTCATTCCTGTTTTGACTGCTTTAGGAATTAGATATCTGGTTCTTTTTATTGAACTACTTTTACAGCCAAGAACACAGGCACACAAGAGGACTAGAAATCCATGACTAAAGCAGATTAAAAATGCAAGCATCTCCTAGTTTTCTTTGTAACTTAATGCTGTAGATATAGAAGTCTCCTTTTTAACCAGTCTTTCTTCCCTTCCTCCAGTAAACTAATTCTTTACTTGGATGGAATTTTCCAATCTTCATTTGCAGCAAAGAGATTAGCTAAAGCTTGCCCCCCAAAGCCCTCAGGGATGCATCTAAATGACGAAAAGCAGGATGAAAGCAGGAAGTTATTCTGTTGCCTAGGGTGAAAGTCATACTGTCTCAGCAGTCAGGAGTCCAGAATCATGCCCGATCTACCATAGTTCTCGTTTCCTCCTATTTCCTAAGTCGGATTGTTAATTTAGTTCTCATTAGTAGTAGTTAACTCCTGTAATTGTAAATAAACTGTTGCTTGGATATGGGAACTACTAAAGGAATCAAACATGCATATATGTTATGCTGTGCATATTTGTATGCATAGATATGTTGACTGCTTTTAAATGGATCAGCAGCACACAGGTTCAATTCATTTTCATTTTATTAGAGACATAATAACGAATAGATTCATATTGAGCCGATAAAGTAAGAAAAAGGTTTTTTAAATTACAGCGTCAGACTGGAAGGAAACACAAAAAAAATGAAATTTTCAGCATAGAAAATGCAAGCAGATATACTGAGAAACTTCTGAAATACAGAACAGATGCCAAGAATACTCATAAATTCACCCTTACGACACCAAAAAACCTGTGAGATCATCTATATGAAAATACATGTTGAATATATGATTCTCCGCGTTTGTCCTATTTTTTTGGTAAAGCAAACAAAATTACATATTACACAGTAAATCACACCAGCAGATAAAGCAATCACGAGGAGTTCTGATTTGCCTTCTTAAGATTCCACTCGGACCTTAGCTCATTGTACATAGACGAAAAGGAATGGGCAACCTCTGACATTGCCCTAAAGAGCTCTGGCAAGCAAGTTCTAAGACTCACGAAAGACTTTTCTCGTACCTGGATGCATAGTGTCTGGTAGGCTTCCTCCTCTTCTTTTAACCTCTTCTCTAACACTTCCACTGCTAAATGTCTCTCAGCAACAGGATCATTCTGATTGTTATCTGTCCTCTCTGGATCCAATTCCTCTGGTGTTCGTAGCTGCCTGTACTTACGGTGCCAGTCTTCAAATTGCCCTTTTTTCCTGGTAAGCTCTTTACGAGTTTCTTCGCATTTCAACTTTGACTTAATCTCATCATCTTGATGATACCTGATAGTCTCTATCACAGCAGCAAAGTTAAACATAGCATTTCTTGCAGCACCATCTTGAAGTTTATCCAGGTGATCATGCCAGGCAAGAAGGAGACTCTTAATAGGAGGACTTTGAACCCTTGGGGGAGAGGAAACCTTCTCTTTTAAGTTGCTTTCAATTGGAACAAGATTTAGCTTTAACCAACTGTTAAGGGCTTTTATGTAATCTTTCTGGTGGTCTATGAGCTTACAGAACTGTAAGTGCCAATCCTTCACAACTGCCAAAAGCTCGTAAGTATGTCCATGGTGGTGCTCACTTGTCTCTTTTGGGAACTGAAAGGGGCCCAAAGCTCTCAAGGCTGCCACAATCCTAGCCTGGTTCTCATGGTGAGCTAGCATAGTTTCCCACATTGTGGCCATCCTACAATCAAAGTTTAAGGAAAGGCATTGTTATATGACTAAGCATGACAAATGGACTTGAGTATACAACTCACAATAAACTCCAATACTCTATGAAAACAATGGAGAATAATCTGAAGGTTTCATCAATTGAGCATACAAGATGATTGGACCCAAAATGAGGATATCAGATGGATAAATATCATAAGACCAAAGATTGCAGAACAATGAATGTACAATACTAATATTATGAGGTAGGATCAACTTGATAATGAAATAACATATTCAATTGAAATTGTAAACTCATAGAAGGTAGAACTGCTTATAACAAACAAATCAAGATAGGTTAAATTTCTAAAAATTAATTACAGATGATGCAGACACTAAAGAAACTAGCACTAGACCCCGCACACCATAACAATGCCTACTAGAGATAGTCATAATACATAATCAAGACAATGCCCTAGATAAGAGTTGAAATTAAGCACAACACATTATAAGAAAACAGAGGAGGTCGTGTAAGATGTATGAATGTGCCAATGGGAGATAAGTATTTAATTAAGCATATAAGACTGATTGCCATGGTAAAAAAAATGAAAAGGGAAAACAGATGTACTGCCACCACCCCTCCACCTCTCTATATCTCTTCAATTGTTTTTCCTTCTCTTAATAACTTCTTAAACTACAACTGCAACTTACGCATCCACAAGCTGAACAAGTTTTGGATATAACTGTTGATCTCGCAAACGATTTATCTCTGAAACTGTTGAATCCAGGGATTGCATGTCAACTATATATCTTGTGTGCAGATGGCTTACTGCTGCTTTTGCTTTCTCCAATGCTTCAGAGTTGGTACCTCGTTTCTTTAGTTTATTTAGTGTGGCAACCTTCCTTTGGTACTCAAATTTCATAAGCTCACCTGCCTAGCCAATTCAAACCAAAATGAGATTCAGAATTGTTCAATTGTAACTGGGTCAAAAACAAGACTGAAAGACAGAGCAAAAGAGAGATGGAAGCAAGTATTGACAAAGCAACCCACTACTTTTTCCAGATAAACCAAATTCTATATTTCAGAAAAACATAAGCCAAATGCTAAACAGTTAACCAGAGATGTAATTTCACATAAAAGCAACCATGCATTCCAAATAAAGAAAATCACAAGATAAAATAGAGGAATCGTTTTGTAGTTATATGACCAATTGCATTCTACAGAGGAGCTCAATTACATTAACATGTTTGAGTTCTGGGCGGCTTTCTTTACCCAACACAATACTGATATCTTTTAAGACATGTTCTTCAAATTATACCTAGGATATGACTACTTACCCTCTCCATGACACATTTGTTAACAAAAACCTGTTCCAACTGCAATACATGTCTTATCCTATGCAACAAATATTCAAGAGTACACAAATTGAATATACAAAGGACCTTCAGATCTTGTATGTCTAGTCATCAACTAACAAGATAAGAAGAGTGTTTGTAGTTTGCACTAAAAAAATCAGTATGCATTGCTAATTCAATTTGTGAGGAAGAGACAATCATATCTTTGGCTTTCTAAATGTGTGAGCTTCAATGGGAAAATGGGAAGACAGGATCTGTAAGAACTTTTAAATTTAATAACATAACTTGATTAATCTATACACAATAAAAATAAGTAAGACAAAAAATTGTGGAAAGATGAAGAAGCAAAATAGTCTGACATACCTTCACTTCCTCATAAAGCTTTTTTTCCCATGCAAGCAATTTATCCAATACAGTTGCATGAGTTTCATTCTCCTCTAAATCAAAATCATCCTTCACACCACGATCCTGAAAGTCACCTCTAAATGACCTATTCCAAGTAATAACACGCATCACCCTTGCAGAGTGGTCAATGTGCCCTGCAATCATAGAGTAATTTGAAGCAAAAGCTCTCTAGGCCACATTATATGATAAAGTTGGAGTATTTAACTGATTATACTAAGTCAAAAGAAAGAGAAAAACAGAAGTTGATGAAAAGGAAAAGCATAGAGAATCTTGGACAAAATCATTATGACTTCCACCTAAATGATCTCACATTGTTGAATTTCCAGTTGTAGACACCCAAATTTTCATGATCATCTAAAACATTAGTAAATCTTTCTATCCTTATAAACAAAAACAGCTACATGACAACACCTAAACAGAAGACTAAAATCACCAAAACAAAGAAAATTTATGGTTAACTAATCTCCAATCTTGTTTCTCCATTTAAGGCATAAATATTAATAACTGGCTAAAATTTTTACCCATCTAAAACTTAATTTCTCCATGAATTCATAAGAAGAACAACAACAAAAAAATTATTTCAAAACTCAAATCCTGAATCTCATGAAATACTTCAGTAAACAACTCTCTCTATAATCTTATGCAAAGGGTTCTGTACCAGTAGAACTTCTGTTTCATTTATCTGATTGTCTCCACAATTGAACTAAGTTTTTCCACATAAAATCCAAGCAAAAGCCATCTTATCATCATCAACTCTCGAAAAATAAAATCCAAACCACGTTTCCTACTTAACTTGCTGGTTATCAGTATAAATAAAAAATTAAAAAACCATATAAATTTATCAACATTTAGTAAGTCAAATCTACATATTTAGGCGAGAATGACTCAAAGGAAAACACAAATCTCCAAATTTTCTATGCTTAGACTTAATCTTACATTCAAATTAGAACACAAATACATTAATCAACACTCTCAACACTATCACTCCAATTTACTGCTCAACTGTTGAATGAGAAAAAAAAAGAAAAGAAAAAGTATTACCTCGATTATCAGCAAAATTAGAGTGATAATGCAACTTTGTAGCCTCCAACAGTTTAGAAACCTCTTGGGCACTCTCAGAGGCCTTCAAAAAATCATCATCTATATCCGCAAATATTTGCGATAAGTTCCCTTTCGCTACCCTTTTCTCCACTGTACTAGGCCCTGCCCTCCCACCCTTCTTCATCCCCTTTGCTGTCGCTATCAAAGCCTTCTCCGCCATCTTATCCGTCTCCACGGCTACCACCTTCTGTTCCATCACCACCTCCTCTCTCTTCTCCTGCTCCACTACCTCCTCTCTCCTCTTGGCCGTTTCTTCAAACGCCTTCCGCTCTACTTCCCCCTTCTCCACCCTCATCTCCTCGACATCCGCCAAAGTTGTCCCTGGCACGCTATGTTGAGACGGAAATATGAAATCATGGAAATCTCCCCACGGCGGATCATGTTGTGAAGACGCTTGTTGAGGAGGCATCTCCAAAGTAGGCGGTGCCGCTCGTTGCTCCTCCACAGCTTCCCACCTACTGCCCCTACTACTCCCGCCCGTCCCAGTCTTATAACTCCGGGATTTCCGCGTCACCAATCGGTCGTGACTTTCAATTTCTTCATCCTCTTCTTCTTCATGAATCGTAGCAGTCGTCTCAATCGGTTTCGACTTCTGCTTAATCTCAGGCATACTAACCGCACGTTGGAGCGGAGAAGCATCGAACGCAGCAACGGAATCCGGCGGTGGAGGCGGCCGAAAAGCCGGCTCCCCAAAAGGCGTCTGCGAAGGCGGTACAACTGACGGCCCTACACCCCGTCCGGGCGACGCTGGATGGGTTGATTGACTGGAATTATGTACCTCAACTTGGGCAAAACCGCTCAGAGCAGCACCAGTGTTCTTCAAGGCGACGGCGTATGAAGAGTGGGCCGCCGCAAAGGCGTTGCGCGAGGCCACCGCATCTTTCATAAACTGTTTCCTCTCCTTACACCGGTTGACGGCTTCCTCGTTCTCGATCCTGGATTGGGTACAACCCATATCGGAAAAAAACCCTCAATCGGAAAGGAAAGCAGCGGAATTTGGGCTGGAAATTGGCATGAATAAGGAGTAAAGGGAGAATTGGGTTTTCGCCAGCTTTTCCGTGTTGCTTTGGCCTACTCGATAATAGACGATTCTAGCTGTCGAAAGGTAAAAGCTTGGGAACGAAGGCTCAGGGTGCCATTCAAACGATGCCGTTTTATCGCCCGACCTTTTAAAACGATGCCGCTTTGTGGGGGTTCGGTGGGACAACGATT